CTGTGTATATGTCTGTGTGTCTGTCTGTGTGTGTCTGTGTGTCTGTCTGTGTGTCTGTCTGTGTGTGTGCCTGTGTGTCTGTCTGTGTGTCTGTCTGTGTGTCTCTCTGTGTGTCTGTCTGTCTGTGTGTCTGTCTGACTGTGTGTGTGTCTGTGTGTCTGTCTAACTGTGTGTGTGTCTGTGTGTGGAATGGGTGAGGTGGGGAGCGTTGGTGCAGCAGTCAGCGCGCTGCGCTACGAACCCGGCCACGCGAGTTCGATTCCCGCTCACGGCCAACGCCGGTGACGATTATCTGAACTGGTCCTGGGCCTCCCCTATGTCGACTCAGCCTCAAATTAGTACAGAACCTTGTGCTATGTGTAAACGTCGCCACTAGGGAGACAAAGGCGGCCGGGCGTGGTGCTCGCCATCCACCCCCTCGTGTACCGTCCCAGGCCTTTATAGGTGCTCGCTTACAGCACTTGCCCCAACAGTCTGTTAAGGTTATACGGGGGATCTTTGTCTTCGACTTTCTTGGATGGGTGAGGTCTCTCTCTGTCTCACCCTGGAACCGTGAGTTCACGAGCCTCGCATGTCGAATGCTGAGATTGAACAAAGAGGCCTCAATGAACACATTTCCACGTACACCCCTGTAATGCCTGTTACAGTGTACACGTCAATTAGCGTGCGAGTGTGTATGTATGTATATACTCTGTAATATGCGAGCGGGGAGCGGTCGTTTAGTGGTGAGCGCACTGCGTTATGAACCCAGCGACACGAGTTCGATTCCCGCTCACCAGTGGGGATTATCTTAACCCTGTCCTGTGCCTCATCTAGGTCGACTCAGCCTCAAATGAATACTTGGTGCGGTGTGTAAACACAATCACTGGGGAGACGGGCGGCTTTCCGGCCTTCGTAGGTGCTCGATAACAGCAATGGCCCCATTTAGTTAAGGCTTAAACGGGTGATCTTTGTCTTTGTAATATGCTATGCATGTCATCTCTTGTGCGTATTTGCTACATGTACTCTGCAATGTGTGCTATAAACCCAGCGACCTTGGTTCAATTCCCGACGACGGCTAACATCAGTGGCGAAGTGATGTTTGAACGAGTCCTGGGCAACCCTTAGGTTTACTGGGCCTTACATTAGCACCTTGGTGTGGTCTGTGTAAAACATCAGCACTGTGGGGACAGAGGACAGCCGAGCGTGGTGGTGCTGGCCACACCACCGCTTCCAGCGCCGTGTCAGCCTCACGAGGTGCTCGTGAACGGCACTTGCCTTCAGTCTGTGTAGGTCGTACGGGGAATTTATTTTATTTTATTTTTTGCCCGTAATTCGTGAACAATAGGTGCTGACTGCCAGTATTCGCCCCGGCAGTCTATGATGATAATCATCAGTGTATATAAGTGCATGTAATATATTTTTTTTCATTCAACTCAGGTTAAATTGGGGGAATTGTGAATCAAATTGCAGTACAATATACACGTGCAATTGCATGCGATTTGAAGAGACAATATGCCAATAGAGATAATACCATGATCAACATCAGCGCTCAGTGACCCAATCAATGCAGCAGAATGCAAAGGACACGGATGCTACGGGGCATCCACGAGTCTCGCTCCCTCTGCCACAATGCGCACACAGTGTCCCTGCTGAGCGCTAGAATCAATTGCCTCTCGCCTGCGTGTCCCGACATCTGCTGAGTTTCAGTCCGCTAAGGGAGCCCCCGTTTTGTGTTGCGGGCATCTCGCCCTCGCCGTAGCAAACAAACTAACAAACAAACAAAAAACCTTGAGACGAAAGACCACGTCGTTGTGACATGCGTCGCGGTCTTTGAATGTGTCTGCCGGGTATCCGGGCGTTCTGTTTAACAACAGCGGTGCGTTGTAAAAGCCCGCACACAAACGGTGTTTAACTATTAGCGACGCGAGCCGGGCATGGTGGCAGCCGACCGCGTTGGAGAGCTTTAGAAAGCTGAGGGCTGGTGGATCTCGCACGGACGTGCGAGGCTGCGAAACGTCGCTGCCTTGCGAGGTGGCCGAGCGATGGCAGCACAGCAAGCGGGTCGTGGACGTGCCCGTTAGTACCTCTGGTCCCTAAACACCCGTGTGTGTATGCACGGTGGGGTTTCTCTTATTGAATTGAATGATGACGTCACCCTGCTGCTGCTGCTGCTCTATTTAAGACCGGGAGCAAGAGGAGAGCCGCACCATTCTGGCGAATCGCCCGATGAAGCTGGATCTAATTACCAGCGAAACGTCGTACTACTCAGATTTTAAATGATGTTGATTCGCTCTTCAGCGCACCGGTGGGCTAAAGAAGTGAATTATTTTGCCCTTTGCAAACGTGACACATTTTCTACTGTTTGGCCGTGTCGGGTGGTGGAGGGTTACGACACATTTATAAATAACGCGATCTAACCCAAAAACCTTTATTATGAATAATATTGGTCGCGAAAGCCGACGTGTTAAACTGGGTTTTCTCTGGTTACTCCATCTTCCTACTCCCCTACGCAAACCACTGATTAAAAAACATGCCACTGCAAAACCCTCCTGAATAAGAGTCTTGGGACTCGTTAAGGCTTTCTTCGAGAGAGACCAATGCCATTATTATGAAATGCATGTTTGTGTGTGTGCTGTGTCGCCGTCATCATCGCCACCAGCTGTTGTCTATACAACTGCCAGATGAAGGCCTCCCCACACGCCGTCGCCACCCCTCTACGGGCCCAGTGCGCGCTGCCACCCGTCTCACTCCTGCGCCATGGACTGATGTCGTCACTCCGTCTCCGTGGCGGTCGTCCTCTTGTGGACACATTCTCTCTCTCCTTGGGCTGCAATTCCGTAACCAAGCCTCGTCCATCGCCCCCCACGTAACAGGCGTCCAGCATCGTGCCCTGCCGTGCCGAAGCCCGTTTACTCTTCATAGATTGTCAATATGTCACCGCCGATTTATGGTCTGCGACATGCTACGTGGGTCTGCAGAAATGTCATTGCTTCAACGGGAAGCTGGCTGTGAATGAATACGACTGGTCGATGGGACCGCACAAAATGCGTGTAAATCGTAACGTCACGCACGTGACATTTGGCACACGCACGCGCAACATTTCACGCAGCTTCCCCCGTCGCTCTTTCCATGCCTCTTGCCCCAGGAAAGTTTGCGTGATTGGGGGGTGCCTACCCCCTCCCCCCCCAGGCCGGCCCCGGTGCGCCTTGAAGGCGATTGAGTACGAGACAAAGACGCGAGCGCGTGTGCAATACACGTCAAGAGAGAAACGTCTTCAATCAATGGACGCGATCATTGTCAGCCGTGACACGCGCAGGGGAAACCCGGGGGCACTGCGACAAAGGGATTGGGTGGCGCAAAAGGTGAAAGGATGCCAACGTGACGGAGCTTGTTTAAAGCGTGGGACCCTTGGCTTGGGCGACTAAGCGAGAGCTATAGGCACTGTGCCTAGTGTTGACGAAGGGCAACATGGATCTGTATGCAGTGTACGACAAACAATTTTGATTTAAAATGTGTCCATGAAATGAGTGTTGTCAAAAACAAACGAAGCACAGCCAGGTGCATCACTTACTCAGGTGAAAAGCGATCAGACGTAAATACAGCAATAATCAACATCCAATAAATAAATGACGCATTGTAAGACCACCAAGGCAGAGATAGAGCCACCACAGCAATGCGTGTAAGTGTTGCGGTAACAGAAATTTCAGAGTAACAGAATCGAACATGCATAAGGGATTGTGTCATGAATCAGTGGGTGGAAAATGCCGATATAACTAACATCACACACACAAATGTAGACTTGTAAACGCGTTCAAGTGGCCTCTTATAAATACTCATTTAAGACCACAATTGTGGTCATGGCACATTTTGCACTCTGCTGTTAAAACTTTTTCATCGTCTCTAAATTTACAACCAAAAATTTCCTTCATTTATCCAGAACAACGTCACTGTGTTTCGTAACCTTTCAGGATTCTTTGCTTGTGATAGTTTGCCAATATTGTATTTTTTATTTGTTACATATGGGAGGAAACTGGAGTGGCTGGAGAAAACCTCCCAAAACAAGGAGACAACCCTTAAGAGCAAATACAAGTCACCCGCGCACGTGCTGCTGTTGCCCTCTGGCAGCATGCCCGAAGGCCATTGCGTCTGGCACATTGCATCTCAGTCTCAGCGTCGTCCACCAACTCCACCTCCAAGTTGGTGGACTGTGGCAGGAAGCGCGAGGCTGAAGCCAGGCAAGCGACGGCGCAGGGCTCCGGGGAGGCAAAGGGCCTCGGATTCATGGAACCAATCGGGGTGTGAATCATACATCAGCTCAAATTTAATTTCGAATAAACCTAATAACTGATGGACATTAATAGGCCAATTCATCCCCCTCAACTTGATCTTGTCCGCATTTAAATTCTCACACCTCTACATCTTCGATGTGGTTTTTTTGTCTACGTTGCTATTATCTTAATTTCGTCTTTGTCTAATGACCACTATATATCTATTCTGTCATCTCGCTCGGGTTTAATTAATTGCATAGTGGGGGGTGTGGGGGGTGCCAATGAGCCCGCACCCACCCCCACTGTGCAGGAGGAGTGCAGCCTTGGTGTGCGCCACCACTCACCACTCCCGGCGAGACAAATTGCATCGCGTCGAAAACAAAAACAAAGAAGCGTTCACGCCTCAACCATGACACCGGCGCCCGGAGTGCACCATGTGCTCTCTCTCTCACTCACCCACACACTTACACACACACACTCAACACACACACACTCACTCACACACTCACTCATACACTCACTCACACACTCACACACTTACTCACTCACACTCACATACACACTCACTCACATACACACACACTCACTCACATACTCACACACACTCACTCACACATACACATACACTCACATACACACACTCACTTACACACTCACTCACACACACGCACACACTTACTCACACACTCACACTCACTCACACACACTCACACACTCACTCACTCACACACTCACTCCACACTCACGTACCTCCCGTACAGAGGCCACCTTCCGAGGAGCAGAGACTTCCATTCCCTGGGAGCGCCTCTGGCACGGCGAGCCCGGCGAGGCGGGCGGGTGCGCACATGGCGAGGATGGCGAGGGCGATGACGCCGACTTTGACGCTGGCGGTGATGAGAGCCAGACGAGACGCACCCCTCCGATGCATGTCCTCCGACAGCTGCTATATCAATGGGCTGAGCCTTCAAAAATAAATGCGTGTGTGTTGTTTTTCCTCTCTCTCACACTCACGCGTGGCCTCCGCGTGAACTTTATGGCCCCAACGTGCGGGGCAGACACCGCACGCGTTTAATTGAGTGCGCACAGAGAGAGAAGGAGAGGGGTAGAGAACTCGAGGAAAATGTGACGAGGGTGTGACTCGTTTTGGCTCGAGGTAACAGAAATAATCAAACAAGACCCCCTCGGTGGATAATTAACTCCCCGACGTCCGCGTTTCTTCTTCCATTAACACCGAGGTGGCTCTCAGGCTTGTGACACGAAGACGCTCCACGGCATCCCGACACACACACGGCGCTCTGCTCCGCCACGCGGCACGGTTCTGCGCGTAGCGGTGGCGAGCGCCTCGATAACGCTGCGAGAGCGAGTTCTGTGCCTCTGATCCATCATCCACCCATCCCATGTCAAAGCCACAAACCTCAACCCCCTCCTCCTCCCACACGCGCCACCCTGCCCCACTCATCAGCCCCCGCCTCCCACGTCCCAGCCTCCCTCCCTCCCCCCCGTCCTCTTCCAGCCGACAAATCCCCTCGCCCTCCCTCCTCCCCAAAGTAAAATTCATTCCCAATCCCATTCTCCCCACCCACCCACTCACTCACCCCAAGCCTCTGCTCACTCATTACCTTGTGTATATACATACGATGTGTGTGTGTGCATACATTGGGCTGCTGTATACGTGTGTTGTGATATGTAACGCCACAACTGGAATGTAAACCTCTTTCGAGATTAAATGTGTCACATCTGCCGGATGAATGATGACAGCGCAGGATCGTGAGAGGTGGCGGTAGATTAGGGAGGCCTTCATCCAGCTGTGGATTGACCATGGCTGGTGATGACGTGTCATCTCCTAGTCACGCCATGCACGGCCCATTGTCACGTATCCGACTCGCTGAGGTATAGACGGACACGTGGCAAGGTCGGATATGCGAATCTCGGTCTTAAATGACAGCTACATTGTGCATGCACTGGGCACAGGCGATTCATTGGTCGCGTCCGGATTATGTGACGGAAAGACATGAGACGTTGTACCGTCGAGTGGACTGCAAGGATGTCCATCCTAACCCCCAATCTGTCCCTCACCGCTGCATCGCAGTCCACTCCTCTCCTGTATCCGCACCCTCCAGGGAAGCGCAGTGGAGCTCTGTGTTGTGTGTGGGGTGGTGGTGGCGGTGGGGGAGGGAACGTCGCTTTATCCACACATCTGCCCGATGCTTTCAAACGCTCCAACATTCGAATAAGTGGTGGCTGCTGGTCGGTGCAAATGTCTTGCCCAAAAAAATAGGGTTTTTTAATTCCAAATGCTCCACTTAATGCAACGGGTTGACAGAGAATACGCTTCTGTCGTGGACATGGGCTATATTTGTCGTCTTCGTAGACGCCATGAGACTGTTTGCATCACTCACGCCGAGTCCGCGGTGACAAAGAGCAATATCCCCTACCCCACCTCTCGTCCCCCTGCACAGTCGCACACGCCTCTGCGTTCCACCCACACACAAAGCGCGCTACCACACCCGTCATCATCATCATCGTCGTCGTCGGCAGCCAGGACACATCACTCGAGAGTGAGCGGTAAATATAGTCACACTTTTGTTTTTGATATTAGCTAAGATCCCTCTATTTGGCTTGGATTTCATTGGCTTCTGCGGCTAAATTACGTCCGTGAGCAACCCATTAGAGCTGGTATAATATGCACAGACGGGTGATGTGGGGTGGGGGTTGGCATCACGGCAAACTCGCAGCCTTTGTCTCCCCGGCGCTGATGTTGACACTCAGAAGATATCTAATCCAGAAGGCGCCCAGGCCAGATTCAAATACTAATTGCCACTGGTCTACGTGGCTAAGATCTGAACACTGAGATGGGGGTGTCGTGATCTCACTGCCATTTGAATGGCCACTTGACATCAACACAAAAGACAAAAAAACCCTACAGGGTACAGACTGTTGAGGCAAGTGCCGGCACAGCAACACAAGGGGGGTTTGTTTGGCTAACACCACTTCTGACCGCCTTTGTCTCCCCAGTGCTAATGCTTAAGCATGGCACATATTAATGCTGAGTCGACCCAGGGGAGGCTGCGATTTGGTTCATATAATGAGCCAAGAATTGAACTCAGGTGACCGGGCTCAAAGCAGAATATGCCAACCACGACATCACTGCTCCACCTACAAACCAAAGACAAAGATCCCTCGTGTAGCCTACCTAGAGACTGTTGGGGTTAGTGCTGTTAACGAGCACCTATGACGGCCAGCAGAGCACACAAGGGGTTGCTGTGGCCAGCACCACACAAAACACAAAGATCCCTCGTGTAGCCTTAGCAGACTGTTGGGGCACCGCGCACACGCATGCACACGCTATACGCAGGCTGCTCGTTTGAATGTTCCATGTAATTGGTGGAGGAAAATATGGACCATGCAGCAGGCCATACTTTAACGATTGCACCACTGTATCGTGAAGGCGTCATAGCACGTGAGCATCGCTTTCGGCAGCTTGAATATCCAAGGGGAATGCGCTCTACAGTAACTAGTAACAACCCATCGCGCCTTGGATAATCTGATAATTACATTTAAAATGCAAAGTAATCTGACTGCGCTCATTCGAAACACATCACGAGCGTGCCGCCCAAATGCTGTTGGTGACAACGTTGACCACCTTTGTCCCAATGTCACGTCCTCAATAATCACACCGTCAAATGCATGGCCACTCGTCACAACGACGTGGTACGACAAGAATTGAATATCAAACCCATGCAGTGCTTGCCACCTCACGTATTCCAAATGATTTACTTACCGTCGAACATTACCACCACAAACCTCAAGCTCCGCTCAGTAATAATCATAATTACATGGAATGATGTGCTATTTCATCAAAGTTTTACCACACACTGTATACACGTACGCTCTTTTATACCACCGTGAATGCTGTAAATACATTAAATGTAGATCTCAAGAGGACGCAGTTAAAACGAACTAGAGGACACATAAGATATTTATAATCCATTTCAGTACAGAAATTATAACGAATTGGGAATTATAATTGAATTTCAGTCGAGAATAATTCCGAAAATGTGTAGTTATGGGTGTTCAGCAGCGTTTATAATCTAAGATACACATTTAACAGAGAGGGAACAACATTTATGCGGTATTTATAATGACCTATATAGCACACGGCACAATTAAAATCCACACTTAATGCAATTGGGTTCATAAACACATCACGACACAGACTGAATATGTTGCCGTACAGATTGCAAACAAACCATTAACATTGGCCGTAAATTTCAGACATTATATTTGTACGTTCTGCCTTTGTCGCTATGTGCAGTGATAGGTGATATACTAAACACATGAGGTGCACGGGCCATATTTTGACATTCACATCCAAAATATGGGCTTTTACAATAAGCTATACGAAAATGAAAAAATGTGTTTTTGTTTACACTGGCATGGCAGTTGTATGTTTGACATCATCTCAGTATGTCATCTGAATCCAGTTTGTGTCACAGGCAGATTGGTTTCTGGATTGGAGCAAAAAATGCCGGTTTTGGACATTCAAAACCAGAGCGTGTTGGTTCAGAATTAACCTGTTCATCCTCAATACATTTAATACCGTATAACCAATCTCATTTGAGTAATGTTAGTAATGGACGAAATCGCAGTTCCAAGGTTCCTGCTGAATTTACTCCACGTATCAGTGAGAGCAAAATATCACTGACAATAATAATCATCGCTGGTAATCGGATTGCTTTGCCAATGAAAAATTCGGTATCATTGGAAGACGTTCTAGAAAACTGAAACCAAAAACGTGCATTGTAAGTAATTAGTAACAATTGGGCCGAGTTTGAGCGAACCCGATAGTTTCCGGGCATAATATTAGTAGCAGGGTGAGACGGCCTCAGATAAAGAGGAGTTCTACAGCGCTGTGGTTTTCAGGGTCCTCCGTGGCAATTGCCGAGTTCCTCCCTCACATCTCACTCTGCAGCCCATCGCACGCTGCCCTTGTGTGGAATCCACTCCCTTCTCTCCGCTCGTTTGCCTCAGCGAACACTCAGCGTTTAGCTGCTGCTGATGATGATTTTTTTCTCACTGCCTCCCACAACTGTAGATACCTTTCGGAGCAGAGCGTTGTTTGCGCTTTGTTAAAATCCACAATTCACCTTCGCTACGACCGCGTAGATCTTCACGGTCGTGCCGCCGTACAACTCCCCGATGCACATTTCTGGTCGTGCCGCGTGTCCGACGTTTTGCTCCACGTGCTGGGAGCTTGTTCAGGATTTGAATTGAGAGAGCTATTTTCTCTCCTAACATCCGTCACCCTCTGCATCACCATTCCTCGTGTATTAACACCAAATAGTTACATTGGGATACCCTTATACATCTCAACTTCACCAACATGCAAGACATTGCACTGGCCCCCATCAGTCTAAATGTATTTCCCCCTCTCATATCGATAGCAGCTTTTGAAGAAATGATATACAACATCGATCATGTAGTATATTACATGCATGGGAAATGAAATGATATTTGTTTGATCAATTCGCCAGTACAAGTTTCTATGAAGGTGAGAACTCAAAGAGACCAGTATGAGTCTCATTTGCAAGAGTGACATGGAGCATGAGTCTTCCAGCATGGGCGATTATTGTTATCGATAATCTCTTAACTGAGACAATAATGTGTAGATTGGTTCATGTCGAACGAATCACCTTAAATGTGCCCGATCTCGTCAGATCTCGGATGCTAAGCAGTTGCAAGCCTGGACAGAGGTTGGATGGGCAGTCACCATGGACAAAAGCGGTGTTACAGGCAGTTGCGGGGGCCACGTTATGGGCATCAGAGGCCAGTGCAGCAAAATCCATTGATCTGTACGTCAACGTTCACACGTCTATGCTGCGTACACATCGATGCTCTATCAGGATGCCTCTGGAGATGTGCATTTGTAAGTCGAGATTGAAAACTAATTTCTCAAGAACTGATGTTCGTGTTTAGTTTATGGTCCTTCCCCGCACCTCTGATTAATACAGTTGGCTGTGTACGGTGTGAAAGAAGTTCAACATACACACGTACACGCATCACCAACCTGCGATGAAGTCTGGGCGAATGACACCCACGATCCACACGGTGTGTGGCGATCTTCGTCCAGCAGTGGATTGACAAAAGGCTTTAAATTATTATTCTAACGATTATTTTTTTAATTAAGATCCCTGGGTGGCTATCATCACTCCTGATCACCTGTTTATTATTAACTCATTTGTTTCTGCCAGTGGTATTGGATGTTCATCGCAGGATCAGACAACACATTTGGGAGCTCATTGCTTAACATTGACAAGAACCGATGTCATCTATTGAACGTGGTGACATGAGAGATTTGGGTTGTTTCTGGGTTATTTTCGGAGAC